GAAGCGGAGAGAAAGTTAATTTGTCTCTGGAAGTCTCGTACACTGAAGGCTGCAACAAGTCTGACTGTGCCCAAAGCAGCTATAGGAGCACCTACAGAAAATACACAGAAGTTAGCCTGATTCTGCTTCCATAAAACCTCTTCTCGCAGTGCCTTTCACAGTGGGAGGCCCCATCCATGCAGCACTCGCTGTTTACAGCGTCCACCCAAACCAGGGCCCCAGTCTGCAGTGACAACTGAGCCATATCAAGAGACCGTTCCAAGAGGAGAGCTAGCCTACAGCAGGGCATCCTGACCTTGAGCCTCAGCTCGACACACCACCTCCAAATCCAACTCCCCGTCACGGCTAGCCGGATGCATGAGAGGGAGCCAGGAGAAGATGCCACCCTGCATATCCAGGAGAGAAACTCTGCTGGTCCATAGCCTCCGCAGGCAGTCTGCGTTGCCAGCCTGGATAGTGGAGGGCAGCTTCAGAGAGTAAGGCAGACCATCACAGACCTCACACAAGGAACTTCTAGATGAACATCAGGAGTAGCCCCTTGCCAAAGGCAGCCATTCAACACCTCTTTAACGCTTCACAGCTTCATCAGTGCTGCTAACTGTGGCACCCTTTCTCTTCTGTCTGTGATGGGCATGTGAGGAGTAGACTGAAAAATGCCTCTGCTTTTCCTCTAGGGAACGGGTGGGAACTAAGGGTTTTCCAAATGTAAGAGGAAGGGAAGGGTCAGCTCGATCCCTTCCTTGTTCTGGAGACCCTGCTCTGCAGGACTCTGTTGCGGGCATTTGCTACCAAACAAGCCTCAAGCACATGCCAGCAACTTAATCCTACTCAGCACAGTGCAAGCACCCCTCATAAGTTCTGGCATGACCATGTGGAGGAATGTCAGGAAATCACCACAGGCAAGCCACTGAAGAAATCAGCCTGGAGGCCAGAGACTATGTTCCCTTATTAAAATCCAACACTGCAACCATCTGCAGGTGAAAAAAGTAAATATCTAAAGTATATTCCTACATTAGTGCAGCTCTACAGCTGTTTTGTAAAGCAGAGCAGGAGTCAGGGATGTCAGCTAGATAAATGAGCTGCTTCTTCCTCTCCCCCATCCCCAAAGGAATTATCTGCATAAAGATGACACATCCTAATAAGCACAGGAAGGGTGTATAAAACTGCAGCTGGCCTTTACTTGATCTCACAACCATATGAATTTTGCTCTAAGTGAGAGGAATTTTACTACAGATCTGCTCCACATTTTCCTAAATTTTAAGAAAGAATGTGTGCTTAATCTCACAACATTCAATGCTCTCAAGAAATAAGCACTTCTACCTATAGGTATACCACAAGAAATAGCAATTTCTTTTAACTTTCCTTCCACTAGTAATATTTTTTCTTTAACCTGACTCCCTTAACATGCCACACATCAGCTTATCCCAAGAGAATTTATTTGTAAGCTTACCACTGTTCTCCACACTTTGTTCAGCATTAGCATATGTACGAAGAAACTCAGCAAAAGCCCCATCCTGCTGCAGCAGCTCCTGGTAGGAGCCCATCTCGGAGATTTCTCCATCAGACATTACCAAAATCGTATCCATTTGAGGCAGATAATTGATTGCGTGGGTTACCAAAACTCGTGTCTAAATAGCAAAAGAAAATAAAAAAAGGGGTTTTAACATCTCAAATTAGTAAATACAATGGTTGAACTCCTGCTCTTGCTGTTTGAATTTGGTGTATAATACAGTAATAACTCTGGACAGCCATGCAGCATTTTTAAGAAAAAATATTGTCCTTGTCTTGATTTTTCCATCAAAGAATTCTGAATTACAGAAACCAGAGCACATTTCATTATAAAAATTCAGTGTTTTATAAAAATCCTCTAAAAATCTCAGAAGGATCCTTTCATTTTTCAGATGTTTGAAACAAAAGCCTGAATATGCAACTTGACAAACTTGGAAACTTTTGAACTCAAAGAAAAACCAAATCATTCTCTAGAGACAAATATCTCATTACGACATACTTTATTTTTCAGGATTCCTTTTGGTCCAATAACTTTTTCAAAAATATGTTTCCCAACATGAGCGTCAACAGCTGATAAAGGATCGTCAAATAGATAGACATCTGCATTACAGTAAACCGCCCGAGCAAGACTGACTCGCTGTTTCTGTCCTCCAGACAAATTCACACCCTGGGGAAACAGGAAAATATGATCCTTTATTTACAGTTGAAAAGAGATGCTTGCTACAGTTTGCGAAAGACATAAGTCATAGGTGGTTTATGCAAATTATATAGAAATTTCAGCGTTGTATGAAACAGATCACAAATAATTTCACTACCACAATAGCATAAGCAATCCAGTCAACATCCTCTTGGAAGGAAGCACATCTATTGAGTTCACTGTCAGAGAGGGGCTAGTCAAAGAAAGTGTTTGGTAGTCTTGAAAAGCAATTAACCCAGACCAACCTACCTAACTCTGTACATTCAGAGGCTACTTTTCTTCTCAGCTGTACTTCTGCAGTGCTGCCTCTGGTTTAACAAACACTGCTCACTCAACAATTTGGTTGGCCTGCTGACCAATAAGAAAGATAAAGCTGCACCCTTTACTGAATCTGGGGCTGTCAGCTGGCACCTATAACTAGTCAGCAGGCAAAGCACATATCCCTACATATCCTTGTCTTCTGGAGAACATCAGCTTAGCAGAACATCAAGCAGGTTACACACACTTACCCTGCTGGCCACGTGGATAGAGGACACCTGGTCCTGCTCCAATAACAGAGCACTACAACAATTATGTACGTTTCTAAATCCCACCCCACACATACTTTTGCAACCAAGGGTCAGTTTTGGGGTGGTGGTTGTTTTTGTGGTTTTTTGGGGGTTGGGGGTTTTTGGGGGTTGGGGGGCGTTGTTTGCTTGTTTAAATTAAGCTGAAGTATTCAGAAGATTCTTCTCTTCCTGTTTCCATACATTTTTCTGCTCTATGACCATGACTACTTAGAGACAATTAAAAACTGTCATTGCAAGATGCTTTTGCATTTACAATTGAGGACAGGTTTCCCTCCCTTGGAGGCTTAAAGACAAGGAAAACATACTGTTCAAATTTGCCTCTTATTCTAGAGGATTTCTACTCTGAATGTTTTAAATTCAATACAACTTTAAGATAAAGTAAAATGGAAGTCATACGGCCTTACTACAAGCAATAGCACTGTTATGGTAAAGTCAGTATTTGAATACCTTTTCTCCTATTTCTGTTTTGTCTCCCGTAGGAAGAATCTCTATATCAGGCAGCAGTGCACAAGCCTCAATCACACGCTTGTACCGGCTCTCATTCATCTCCCTTCCAAAGATAATGTTATCTTCCAGAGTTGCATTTTGGACCCAGGCTTGCTGAGGAACGTAGGCTACTGAGCCCTGCAAGAAAAATAAAGTTCCTTATTCAGTACTTTAGACTAAGTCTGTACATAAAACTCAGGCACAGCAGGGCTTTGTGAGGCAGGCAGTGATAATCGCCTCAGAAATGGCCTATGGTCATTTCAAAACTGCACAAAGTAGTTCTTGGGCTACCACCTCCTCCAAAACGTTATTTTTATAATCTTCTCCACAAATGAATGTAACAAAGTGTGTTGGTGGAAAATAAAATACTTCAAACAAAATACAATTCTCTAATGTAAACTTGGAGGAAACATTTGTTTAGAGAATATGTTTGCACAATTACTGAATGTCAAAAGTCATTAGTTTTTTCATATAGTTATAAATTACGTTCTGCATAAAACAATTTAATCTGGAATGCAAGTGTTTAACAAATGCACCCCTGCCAAGAGATTTCTGCAGAAAATAGGGGAAGTAGTTTTTATATAAAAGTCACTTCAAAGGAAGAGATTGAGCTACTGCAAACTATTTGGCTTTGAAGACTACTTCTGCCTTCTCTTTCTGCACAAATAATCAGTGATTCAGATCTCACCTACTTTATTTTTCCCAAACAATTTTGGAGGTGACCAAATGTGCATTCTTTTAAATGCAATATATTGGTATTGCTCTTAAAATAATTCTCTTTCTATACATTATGGCAGCAGCAAAATCCCAAACAAGGACTTTTTCCTTATTTACACACTTCCAGGTCATTTTTCTTCTGTGAGCTCTGTGCAACTCTGATGTCTAAGAAAGAACAAACTACAACAGCAGCTTTTCCCATGTTTGGGTATCTGGGTGTACCCTCTCTCCTTGTAATTCTCTGATGTCTAAGAAGGTATGAACGAATACTGCTCTTCCTCAGGCTGGAGCATGTATAATAGGGTCTCCCTACCTCACACCTGGCTGCCAACAAGACTCACCAGAATACTTATCTTTGAAACTTCCATCATTCTGTCTATTTGGCTACATCTGAAACCAACAGATTTAGAAGTTGTTGGGTTGAGGCTTAACAGGCAATTACACAGAGTGCAGGCTAAGGCATACACATGGCCTGCCAAGAAATCAGGCTAAGAAATGCTTTCATTTGAAAGGCTGTCTCTTCTCTTCACACCACTTTGAAATCTAGAATCCCTCCGGCAATACCCACAAATAGCTGAACAATTCTTCAGACACATCACACCTTGACAACCACGTAGCCTTCCTTTTTGTCCATCTCCCCGAGTAATGCAGACAGCAACGAAGACTTTCCACAGCCAACTTGACCAACAACAGCTACCAAGGAGCCTTCAGGAACAGTGAAATTAATGCTGAAATAAAGTGCACATAATTCAGCCCTGCTTGCTGGCACATCCCCATAGTTACACAGTCTGTTGAACAGCCCATATAAAGCCAGATGTAACATGAACACCGGCTGCAAATGCTGACACAGCACAGAAACTTCAACTGTTTGAAAATGCAAACGTCTCACTCAGAAAACACCCAGCTCTTCTTATACTTAGGACACAGCATCTTAATGTGTAATTAGACAAAAGAAGAATAAAAAAAGAAAAAAGCACCATGACACAGTCTGTCCAGTATTTCTCTCAAATGTTCTGTGAACACAAATGTAAATACCAATGGATGCTTCCCAAACAGCTCCCTTGTCCCAGAGAATATGCAATTTAAGGCCCAAGAAAGAGCAGCCAAAATTAAGGAAGGGGACAGGGCACAGGGAGGCCCCAGCTTGTAACTGCATCACCCCAGTTACTTGGTTAGTCATACCACGTGCAAGGTTCTTCACTGGCTTTCTCCAGCACAGGAATCAAGTATGGCTACAGTTCAGCAAGAATAAGATTTTAAAAGGAAGACCCTGAGGATACAGTGCAGACCTGAGGGATGAGGGATAACTACGAGGGGCTAATCTGGCTGCATCCTCTAGATGGAGCTCACCCCACCTGCAGCACATAGCAAGTGCTTGAAATCTGAGCCTTTCTCTCCTCCCATTATACCTCTTGCTACTCCTCTTTATGCATTCCATACATACAACATACTTTGTAAATTCCTCTAGTTCATGAAGCCCTTGGTTTGAAAAAAAGATATAGAACAGATGTTATTTGTTCTCCTGTTCCTTTAAGGCAACAAACTCTTCTGCATATAGTTTTTATAATTCAAATACAGATCATTTATGATGCAGCAAGATTATGGAGTGGAACAAAGGGTACTAATTCTTACCCGTTCAGTGAAGGAGGATCATTTTTGGACCAGGTAAACGTTGCATTCTTTACAACAATGCATCCTTCAGCTGACAAATAGAAAATTTGTGTTCATAAAAGTGCCAGTGCAAGCCACTAAATTGTATGCTCTGGATCGTGCCACAGAAGTCAATCTAAGCACACATAGGCAGAGGTATAAAGCTACTTCTCCAGCAGAACAACCACCCACTCTTACCAAAAGCTTGTGTTCTGCTTTTACTGAACTTACCAAGACAGCAGAGGTTCTGAGGCTATACCTGTTCAGTAACCAGGAGGTACACAAATGTCAACTATACAAAGATCCTGACTTACTCAGCTGCATCCTCCTTTATCCAGCAACTCCACTGCAGCAGTGCAAAGTCAGTTCAAGAACTTAGCAGCCTCAATCTGACTTGTGCTTCAACAGAACTGTCAGCTAAACTGCCAATTCTATGTGTGAAGCCAAGTTACCACAAGAATGACAGGGCAAAATAAATCAGATTACCAAATAAAGTAACTTTGACCAAAAATACTGTTCAGTGAAGTGTTGCATGGTACTGGCATCTGTAGATTTTTACAGAGACAACTTAAACTATACCACTCCTAATCCAACCAAATATGCAATAAATGCTTAGCCTGTGTAAATATTTATGTTAATAAGCAAGTACAACCCATTACGGACACAAAAAAAAAAAACAAACACCAAACTACAATAAAGATTTGTAAGCACTGTATTCATGGTTATCAGCTGAGAAAGGGGAGGAGATATTCCCAAAAAGAAAATAGAGAGGAGAAAAAAAAAAAAGAGAAAAAAAACACAGCAGATGACTGCTTACCAGAAAGCCAAGTGACTAAAATTATATAGAGCTCAGCTAACCGCATGAAAGGGAGTGATGGGGATTTCATCATCTTTGTAAAAAGTAAGAAAAATAATTTTGAAATGACTGACGTAGTTAAGTCAAGTTTTGTTTTGCAAGAAAAAAGGCATTAGTTTTTCAGTAAACTGCCTTCATGCTTATCTACCTCCTAAACGGCTCTATATAACTGGACCAGCAACGCTGGATACAGAGGGAGTGACACTGGGAGTAACGCTCTCTGCACACTGCAGAGGGTAGAGGCATTTGCCGGAACAGGGATTCATCCTTTCTCCTTCAAGGGTGCTGAAGCATTACATGATTGTTCTTCTCCAAAACGCTGGGTTTTGGCACAGCATTAATTACCATTCTGTTAACTCTCTACAAATTTCAGGTAGCTAGACTTAAAACAGTCCAACAAGTAATTTTTAAAGCAACCATCTGTGTCTGGATGCAATCATTCTGTAGTCTGGACACAGGAGTTGGGGAGAGGAAAGAAATTACCAGAGAAGGTGGTAGAAACTTTATATACAAACTCTCTTCTCTGCTTTCTGGCTGAAATTTATCAGTGAAATCCACCAAAAGGTAGTAAATTTGTTACAGAAAGCAAAAGAAACACTGCGAAGCCATCCAAAACCTGCACACGCTGATTTTCAACAGGAAAAGAAACTCACCCTCTGCGATGGGACCCCTGATTATGCTGTTTGGATCTAACTCTTCATGAGACAGGAACACCCTAAGGCGCTTCAAGGAGACACTGGCCTGCATGGGAAAGAGATGCAAAACTGTCTTATACTCTGCTCATTATATTTAAGAGCTTGCTGTTTTGCACCACATATACATTACACCATTATTATGCACTCCCAATCCCTCCTTAAATCCATTGCATAGTTTCTTTGGATAGTCAAACTCACACTTCCCAAACCACAAGAAATATGGCTGTTTTAAGGAACACACATCCACTGTAACTGGAATTGATATTTTGTTTGCATAGCACTTAACATACAGGAAATGCAAAGCTCCCTTTCTGAGGTGGCTAAAATTTCACCAGTGGACATTCTTCAAGCACAGGAATGTAATTTTTCCACCCAGTGGCTACTTCTGCACAGAAACACCTGTTAACGACCAAAGTCTTACTTCTACTATGCTGCTGATAACCATAGGAAGCATGTTCAATGGAAACCTGAGGATGTTGAATAATGCTAGGGAAACAAATGCCTTCTGAGCATCCAAGATGTTGTTCTTGTCTATTGTGACGTACACAGCAAATGTGGACAAGGCAACCTGAAACAAAGTGTAATGGTTACAGTTAATATTTTGTAAAGCCACTACACCTCCTGAGTCACAGTCTGACAAGTGGAATCAGAGGTCTACAAATCAAAAAAAGTGTAGTGTTCTGGTAACTTCTTTGTTCCTGATACTGCTTTTTGCAAACAAACATTTGAGTTAAGTCTGTTGTTGTAAAAAGCAGCTGATGGCTGCTCTTGGAAAGGCGTCAAGTGCTCATTTTCTTCACATAGCAAGGGTAAAACCACAAATGTCCCAGGCTATTTGTGGTCACACTGCAGGAGAAGGGAAGGAGAGGAATGATCAGTAGTCTTTCTCGCTGCCCTCTTTCAGTTTTAAGGCACTCTCCACAGTACCAGATACTGGATCAGTAATATATATATAGACAGAAAAGTTAGAAACAACCCAATGCTAACCCATTTTATATTTTATAGAGACTACCACAACACTAGATTTCCAAGGACAGCCATTTTATCACAGACAGACTGTTTTCCAAGAAACTTGAATTGTTACTGCATTACAAAGATGAAGCCTTATTAGTACCTGAACAGTTCACAACTCAAGATCCACGCTGAACAAGAAAATGGCACCGAACCATTGTTATCATCAATGAGAAGTAGAAAAACAATGCAAAAAATCCATATACTTACCTATACTTTTTAAAAATGTGTTGATTAAAGTAAAATTAAAGTAAACTAAATAAAACCAAATGTTCACTTTCAGATCTATTCCCTTCACAGTGTTTTCTTCCATGGTAACAACACTCATACCTCAGTATATCACAAGATCCAGCAACTCTTT